GGACAAGAGAAATCACATTGTCTCATTAAGTGAATTGGCAAAAAAAAGCTTAAACCATAATCATGAAGAAAGGAGATGATCAGCTAGCTAGGAGAAAATGACAAATTAGTACCTGGTGGGAGCTGCTGCATATGCTGCTGTTGCTGGTTGTACCATTTTGTGCTTGTCTTTGGCTATCTTAATCTTCCTGCTGGTAGGCCCGACAACTCCTCCATGATGATCACCTTCATCAACAACTTGATGGGATTTCCTTTCCTTTATCTGCCACAACAACCACCTTTTAAACCCAACAATCAAAACCCTCTCCCCAAAAGTGGCATAGACCACAGTTCCACGAGCCCACCACTAAGCTAAGAGCGGCCTTGAATTTGATAGGCAAAAAAGAAGAAGAGAGCACAAACCTCAATCTGCAGCTGTTTATTCTCTTCACCAAGATCATGCTCCTACAAGTTTTGGCCATACACGTACAATTCCGGTAAACAAAAGGAGTAATTAAAAGAGGTTACAGCTTAAAATGGATTCAAACCCAGCTGCAGCTGGCTAGCAAGCCCCTTTACCATTTTCCGCAGTTCTTCCAGCTTTTGCAACAGCACTTGTGTCTGCATTAATAAGAAACAAAGTTCAAATCAGTACTGTCTCGAATTCAAAAGTATATTTGACGACTTGTCTGATGCATGCGAGCTTTACCTTCGTTTGCCTAGCTCTGGAGAGAGCCCTGTCCAGCTTCCTCTCGATCTTGAGCAACTCTTTCGCGCTCAGGGTTTCAATATCCTCCCCTTGGAAATGCCTTGTTGCATACACACCAGTACACATAATCAGAAACTATATATAGTGTCAGTCTATGTATAGATCAGAACGGAGAGTGGTTATACACCTACCTATGAGAACGTTGCAGTGCTTCACATTTCTCGTCCAATTTGGCAACCTCCACGCATAAGTTCTGCACCAAATTACAACCCTCAAAACTTCACCAAAAACAGCCCAAGTACAAGCTCCGTATTATGGTTTTGCTTGTATCGCAACAGAAGATGAAGGGGGGACCTGAAATGGAGTTCCGGCATGAGCAGAAGGGTTCCCGCCTTGCGTGCTGTTGTTGATGTAGTTGCATTGCCTGTATCGCAGAAGGGTTTTGCTGACTCTGAAAATCAACACCAGTTAGTCAGACAGATTAGGAAGGAAGGAAGCGGGTCTGGAGAATGAGGGTGAAGTTAAAAGTGGAGGTGGATGAGATTCTTCATGATGAAAAGGAGGGGGAGGCAAGGAAAACACAGGGAGAAAGAGAGATGAATGAGAACCCTAGGACATAGAAAGAGTAGTGGTAATTGCCGCCTGACCATGGCCATACTTGTCTTCTGTTCACAGGAGGATAGTAGTAACTAGTACACAGTTTCTGACTATTGATAAGAACACACATTACAGCTGCCATCCATTCCTCCCCTCCACCACCACAACAAAGGTTGGGACTTGGGAATTGGGATTATGGAAAAAGTAGTAGAGAAGCACACTAATTAAAAATAAAGGTAGTAAAACGTGTCAAGACCCCATTGCTTGGGTTCCTCTGTGTCACTGTGGCTTTCACCACTCACCACCACCATAACTCTCTCCTCTCAATATCTCAAATAATCCAATTAGTTAAAAACAAAGGCAATGTCTGTGTATTTATATATATATATGCAGAAGCCAGGTGCTGGATCGCGTACCCAGAGCTGCCGAACTCAGAGAGCTTGCCGCGGCTGGAGAAGAGGATGAGAGCGACCTCGGCGTCGCACAGAACAGAGAGCTCGGTGGCCTTCTTTAGCAACCCATTCCTCCGCTTCGAGAAAGTCACCTGCCGGTTCACCTTGTTCTCTATCCTCTTCAGCACCACTTTCCCTCGCCCCATTTTTCTGCCAATCTAATTCCCTTTCCTTTCCTTCCCTCCCCTCCCTTCACATGATTTCCAATTCTTCTCTTCTCTTCTCTGCTCTCTTGTTATATAGAAGAAAACCCTATATCACCCACCATCTGACGCTAGCTTCGAATTATGAATATCTTGACTCGACTTGAAGGAGAAGAAGAAGAAGAAGTACTGTTTCTTTAATTCGGCCCTCAATCTCCGACCTCTTCTATGTACTCTTGGTTTATTTTGCGTCCTGGTTTGGTTTGGTTTGGTTGCTGCTGATTATGTATAGGAGGAGGAAGAGAGGAGATCGACTACGTACGAATCTGACCTATCCGCACAGCAAAATGGCCAACTCCCCTCTTCTTTTGGTTGTATAATGCGACCCCAAAAACCATTATTGTTGTACTCCCTACGCTGTTTGATTATATTCGCTTTTAGGGTTCCACGAATTCATCAAACTGGGATGACGATACCACAGTATTTATTTTGGTTATTTAATTTCTAGATTTTAATACTATTCTGCAAATATTCCATATTGATTTTAACAGTTAGGAGCTCCCAAATACTTATTGAAGTATTTGGGAGCTCGATAGGAAGCCCAGATTAATGGATTAGGTCGACCTCATTCAAAAATGGTCTTCTGAACTTCCTATCGAGCTCTTAATCACTTCAATAAGTAGAGGGACACTCCAGCTTCAAAACAAGCCATTAATCTTCTATTTTCATCTAGCCAATTGTATTATATGAATATCCAAAGTAGGCACCATGAAACTGTTTTTACACTGAAACAACAAATTATGTCGACCTAATCCTAAATGAGGTCGACCTAATCCTAACTAAGGTCGACCGAAAAATGCAAGTCATCGTGATATGCATGTCACCATAGACACACCCTAAAATTTATGTATGTTAAATTACCTACTATGAATGGTTAAGTCAACAAAAGTAATGATAGTGGTCTAGTTTCTCTTTAAGGAGGATCCTTGAGAAAAGAATTTGTTTCATCCTTTGATTTACCAAACATTTGGCATACTAAGCCCTCACAGTCTGGTCCTTTCTCATCTTAAATATAGTTTTGACCGTTTGTTATTAGACACTTTTGGCGAAGACTAGTGAGATGGCTCAATCCGACGCCACTCCTCAATTAGGGGTGAAAATTGGGCGGGTATAGTTACCCGCCCTACAATTTGCGGGTACTTACACCCACATATTTACAATTATGCTACCCACAACCCGCACTGTAGTGGTTAGTGGGTAACCACTACCCACTGTGGGTTTGTGCGGGTTGGGTGTGGTTACGCGCAAAAATCCATATTTGCAAGCATAGAGTTCTAGTCGCCACTAACGTATTTGTTGTTCGTAACTAGATTATAGTGATATACACTTGTGTTGTTCGTGGAGATACAATTTTGTACATCGATCTTACTCAACGTGGAGATTTTTTCTTTTTGAGTTTGGTATTCAACTTTTGTGCCAGAGAGCTGTGATTTCATATTTCTCCGACTAGGGGTGAAATATGACAATTAAATATGATCTTGTATTTTTTCACACAAAAGCAAAAACATACCGATAAAAGTTACAAAAGGTGTTCACTTTTAATGAATTGATTATTCTCCACTCTATCGTTATAGTGTTTTATAAACTAAAAAATTCTTACATAAAACTGATTAGGTGTGTCTTTTTTATTTGGTGGCTACTTTAATTTTTATCCTCACACTTTTCACATACTATTATATTATAAAGTTAATTCACTAAATAAATATAACTAGTGTGGTTATTGTGGATTTTGTGGGTTATCCGTGGTGGGTAGTGAATAACCATTAACCACAAAAATCATTATTTTACTACCCACACCCAACCCACTACCCACAACTTGTGGGTATGGTTACCCATAATAGGTGCGGGTTGGTGCGGTTTGCGGATTATCCACAACCAGCAACCCAAACTTCCACCCCTACCCTCAATCAATTAAAAGCTCAAAGCCTCCATGAAAGTCTAGACCAAACCCTAATGTGTACGTATTTATTTCTTTTTTAAATATCTCGTTCTTAATATATGTGGAAGATGTGATTAGAAGAAGTATGATACATTGCTAAGGATTTAGTTCATTCATTAAACAAGTTGACTTTTTTGTTTAATGACTGAAGTATGAATGAAGAGGCTTAAACCCCAGCAAAGAGAAGATAAGGACAATCATTCCATTCCACAGTATTATAAACCAACCAAAAAATACAAATGCACACTGTCATAAAAGACAGATTCACAGCCAAAGTAGACCCACACGTAGGATGATAATTTCGACCTGACTCGTTTTACTCGACTTGTTTGACTTGTTTTGGGGCGGGGCGGATATGGGTACTCTCATCGACCCGACCTGCCCTGACCCGCCCTATTCTCGACCCGTTCTTGCCTAAATTACATGTAATCTTAGTCAAATTACTTATGATTTTTCTTTTATTACATCATATTTTAGCTATAATAAAGTTGTAAATTAGTGAAAACCTCAATTTCTCTAATAATTTAACTACATTTATCATAATATTGTTTATTTTCTTGATCTTATATTGTTTAAATTACCCGACCCGCCATGAAACGGGTCTAATTACCAAAAAACCCATCTCGATCGGACCTAACCCATTACGGCATTACTATTCCTATCCACACAGAAGAAAGCAAATGCAGGAGCGAAAATTGATACGAGACAGCATCGACTGGATAGCTTAATTTGACGTTGATGAGTATTTAATTATAACGCACTGTTTATGAGTTCTCATTTCTCTCCATCCGCTGGTCGTATGTATACGGGTTAATTGCATGGTTAGTCACTGAGATTACAAAAAACGTTCATGTTTGGTCACTGAAAATATTTAAATCCAATCTTGGTCATTCAAATTAGTTAAATGGTTCAAGTTTGGTCACTCTCCGTCCAACTCCGTTAAATATGTCTGATGTGGCAGTCAACCCTCAAAGTTGACCGTTAACTCGGTGACGTGACAATTAAAAAATAATAAATAAAATAAATTTTAATTTTATACCATTTCCAACTTATTTTCACAATAAAGTAAAATAAAAAAAATTAGAGGCTCCTTTGAGGACATAGTATTCACAGCTCTGGACATCAATTTCTACCACCAAATCCCATCCGAACAACAACAACAGAACCAGTGGTGGCAACAACAGCAAATGGACTCAAGCCCATCAACACTCCCAAACGCTTCCTCTTCCTCGAATTCCTCCTCCCGTCCCCTTCCCCACCAAATTCCCCTCCAATTGCCCCCCGCCGCCACTCCACCACCAAATCCCCAATTGGCTCTCCCCCTCCGCCGCCGCCTGCCGCGGGGAGTCGTCGAGGTCGTCGTCCGCGGCGTCGAGGTCGTCTTCCCTTGATGCGTCTGGCGAGCTGAATGTCCTTGGGCATGATAGTGACCCTCTTGGCGTGAATGGCGCAGAGATTGGTGTCCTCGAAGAGACCCACAAGGTAAGCCTCGGCAGCTTCCTGGAGAGCCGAAACGGCAGAGCTCTGGAACCTGAGGTCGGTTTTGAAGTCCTGTGCAATTTCGCGAACCAGGCGCTGGAAGGGCAGCTTGCGGATCAAGAGCTCTGTGCTCTTCTGGTACTTTCGAATCTCGCGGAGGGCGACGGTTCCGGGCCTGAACCTGTGGGGCTTCTTCACTCCGGCGGTCGCCGGAGCGGACTTCCTTGCGGCCTTGGTCGCCAGCTGCTTCCTTGGCGCCTTGCCGCCGGTAGATTTGCGAGCGGTTTGTTTGGTGCGGGCCATTTGAGAGAGAGAGGAGCTAGGGTTTGAAGATTATGGAACTTGGTGGATTACTGAATATTGAGTGAGAGAATTTGATTTCGGTTAGGATTACCGGAGAAGAGAGGGGGATTTAGATTTATTGGAATGGAGAAGTGAGAGTCGACTAGGGGTGTTTTTTATTTTTTTTATTTTACTTTATTGTGAAAATGAGTTGGAAATGATAGAAGATTAAAATTTATTTTATTTATTATTTTTTAATTGCCATGTCACCGAGTTAACGGTCAACTTTGAGGGTTGACTGCCACATCAGACATATTTAACGGAGTTGGACGGAGAGTGACCAAACTTGAACCATTTAACTAATTTGAGTGACCAAAATTGGATTTAAATATTTTCAGTGACCAAAGTTTTTTGTAATCTCAGTGACCAATCATGCAATTAACCCGTATGTATACTATACCTTCATGGATTGGTTACTGTTGTGTTCTTTCTTCTTTCGCTGGGCTGTACACTTCATTTGGTACTACTGTATATGCTGATGGAGAAAGGGAAGAAGCAGCAAGTGCCGACACGTGTCCAGAAGGGTACGTCATGGCTTTAAGGCTTTGGTTGGGGTTTAGGGTTTAAAAAGAATCTCCATTGGCCTGCCACTGTTCACTATGCCTTCTTCATCACTCCACTATGGGGGGTTTTTGTCTTTTTCCCTTTCATCCCCCACTATTTGCTTTTCCCGATCCACACTCACGTGGACAGTACACCCCCATTACCCCACCCGCGCGTACTGTTCAAAAACCCACGTGTCGCCCTCTGGGCTTTCAGTCCGTATTAACGAACTGGACACGTGTCGGCCGACGGCACATCCCACGACGCATCCATCATCCACATTGGGCTTCGCCCCCCAACGCAGCCTCCCCTGAACTCACTGGGCCGGACCGACTTCTTAGAAGCATGGGCCCGACTCCACACCTCCTCTAGTCCTCGTTTTGGGCCGAATAAATAAATTAAAATAATATTCCACATGTTAATTTGCAACGGCGGAGAACGAACTTGTACAAATTCACGGCGGAGAACATGCTCTTTGAATTCTAGCGAAAATCGGGAAGCGCAGGGGATGGGGGAGTCACATGACGAGATAAAGCTTATTTTGGGAAGGTTAGGCGAACATGTGGCCACTCGTGAACGCTTCTTGATTTGATTTCCACCGCTTGCGGTCTGCGGAGTGGCACTCAAACGACTGAGCTGTGGATACTGATCGACGATCACTGTCCAAGGACCAAGAGAGCACCCCCTGCCTGCTGCCGGGGCGACGCTGAGTCATTCATCAGCGGGATCAAGTTGATCAAAGTGCGCAATGGCGCCTTCGCTTTGCTGTTCGAGAGTGGAGAATGCCTTCTTCTCTTCCGCGCTATTCAAGCTGAAGAAGCAGCAATCCGGTGTTGCTACTACTGCCAGGAATGGCAGCATCGCGTGGCTCGCTTCTTCTCCGTCCTCCAGAATTTCTCTTTCTGGAGCTTCATTATATCAGTCGACCTCGCGAGCTCGTTCGTTCTCCGTGAGAGCGGCCTCTCAATCTTCTCCTGCCGCCGTCGCCGAACCGGAAGGGATCAAGGTCGGCCGCTCGTAATTTGCGCTCTCTCTGTGTCGTTCATGTGACATTTTGTCTCTTCATAACTGGCTTGCTGTGTTTGTGTTGTCCAGATTAATTCAGTGCCGACGAAGCCAATTGAAGGTCAAAAGACGGGAACTAGTGGTCTTCGAAAGAAGGTAGCTTCTGATTTATCGCTGATTGTGCTTTCTTAACGATTTCCATTTTCAATTCAGCTGTTCCATCGATGTCCGGAGTGAGTTAGCGAATGGAAAACTCGATTATGTCAGGGAACTTGCTCCATTTACTGAGTTGTTTTGATGAATTTTGGTTTCTCTATAGGTAAAAGTGTTCAAGGAAGAGAATTACCTAGCCAATTGGATTCAGGTGAGATTCTTGAATGTGGTGTATAGATTTCGATTTCCAGCAGATGATCTTTTGTAGAACTAAGTTGGTCCGGTCTTCTTTTGATCTATATTTGCAGGCATTGTTCAATTCATTGCCTCCGGAGGATTACAAGAATGGACTATTGGTACTAGGAGGGGATGGTCGTTACTTCAACATAGAAGCTGCACAGGTCATACTTAGTTACTTACCAACTCAGCTGGTGTACTTGGTAGGATTAGCAGTTTAGCACAATTACATGGTTTCGTTGTTTGCAGATAATCATTAAAATTGCAGCTGGAAATGGTGTTGGCAAGATTCTGGTTGGCAAGTGCGTCTTCCTCACCTTTCTTTATTTTGACAAGTTAAGAATGCTTAAGAAAAGGAAGATTGATATTGAATGGTGTCTCCATGCTCGTCCAAATTAATTCATAGATACTGAGAAACAATAATATAAGAAAAGCTGGACAGTGGAGACGTAGTTGTTAGAACATATGGCTTCTCCTAATTCTCTTATTTGGATCAACCATATCTGCATTTGGGGTTGAATTAGATGCTACAATGTGCCTAGTGTTTCATGTGAATCTGTTCTGGTTTTCCTTCCCTGGGTCTTCTTTATGAGTATGTACCTTATGTTGCAGGGACGGTATCCTATCTACACCAGCTGTCTCTGCTGTTATCAGGAAAAGGAAGGTAAGTAAACGTTTCTTATATATGCTCGGACCAGCAGTTCCTGAGGCAACAAATCTTAGAAACTCTCCTTTTATTTCACGAAAACTTCCACACAGGCAAATGGTGGATTTATAATGAGTGCAAGCCATAATCCTGGGGGCCCTGAATACGACTGGGGCATCAAGGTAAGCTGCCAATGCAGTTGAATTGTGTTTATATTGATCCAGACAATGCTCTATTCAAACCAAATAGAGTTAATTTGCCTGTTCATTTCTAGTGCAAGGGACTGCAGTTTTATGTCATTAGTTTCGCTGCATTTTTGTTGATCTATGAGGTCTTTTTGTCTAGCTGCCTTGTGATTCCTGGAGCAGACTAATATTTCCTTTTGAGTTTCTCAGTTACTCATGGTGGGGAAATCTATCATCAATTATTATCTTTCTGGAGACGTTGTTGGCTTTTCATCTTCCATCCGGTCATCATTGCTGCCGATCTTCGAAATTTTCCCACCGAAAAATCTTTGTTTTCCCATTCAAACTCATACTTTCTGAAAGTTTTTCAAAAGAGAGGTCTATAGGGATTCTGGAATCAGCCTGTTCAAAGTTAATGTTGTTTAGTTGCTTTAGGTGACCAGTGTTGGAGTCTCGCAACTTCAGTTAACCTTTCTTGTACTTTTGTGTAGTTTAACTACAGCAGTGGGCAGCCTGCCCCGGAGTCGATCACTGACAAGATCTACGGGAATACTCTTTCTGTAAGTATTGCTCATATGCTTCTAGCATTCTCTCTTGGTTAATTATGTTTCCATACCGTGTTGCTTAGTTGCTCAGTTGCCCTCTTTGCTGAATATTTTTATGGTCTCAAGTTTCATAATCTCATTTCTGATGTGTCATTTGAGAAACATAAAATTCGAAGTCCTGAATGAATTTTTTTACACTGGTCACTGGATGCTCAACATCACTTTTGACTGCTTGTCTACGTTGCTTGTCTGATTTTAAGCAGTTCATAGTGCCTTTTACTTCATGGTCTTGCAGATCTCTGATATAAAGACAGCTGAGATTCCTGATACTGACCTGTCTCGTCTCGGAGTTACAAAGTACGGAAGCTTCTCTGTTGAAGTAGTAGATCCAGTTTCGGACTACTTGGAGCTAATGGAGGTCAGAAAATAATATGTTCACATGTTAAATTTTATATAATCTTGCGCATTTCACATTAGTAAGCATGTTGGTGGGGTTTTTTTTGCAGAATGTATTTGATTTTGAACTCATCAAATTTCTCGTTTCACGTCCTGAATTCAGGTACATGGACTGCAATCAAATTAAGTCTTAATGTTGTGGTTGGCCTTTCATTCATATTTTCCACTGAATTACAGTCACACTAATGAAGTCTTCTGGAATGCATCACTCAAGGCAAACTGTGGTTATTTGGCATCAAAAGTTATTAGAACCGTCTGCCATCTATTCTGCACATGCGTGACTCTGTTTCAGTAGTGATACTCTACAAACCTGTATTTGTATTTCAAACTCTATTTAACCAAGTATTCACTTTTCAGGTTCACATTTGATGCAATGCATGCTGTTACTGGTGCTTATGCAAAGCCAATCTTTGTGGACAAGCTAGGAGCCAGTGCGGTATGTTCCGTACGTTGTGCATATCTGGCAATTCCATCAAAATTTATCTGTCACATTCATTATGCCAGGCTTTTGGGGTCTGCAATGTAGGATTCAATCATGAATGGTGTTCCTCTTGAGGATTTTGGACATGGTCATCCAGATCCAAATCTCACGTAAGACACAAAATATGTGCTTGTTCTGATGAATTTGCTACTGTTGGCAAGAAAGCTAACATTTACTTGTTTCTGAAATAGATATGCCAAGGAGTTGGTTGACATCATGTATGCTGAAAATGGACCTGATTTTGGAGCTGCTAGTGATGGTGTGTTATTTATTTTATGTTCAAGTTAGTTTGGCTTCTTGAAAGTCTCACAGCAGTGTTTACCGATTGGAAGATGGTAAGCCTGTGAGAAGATAAGGTTGTTTTCCTGGTCTCAATTTTATCATTTTATTAGGGGATGGGGATCGGAACATGGTCCTTGGCAAAGGTTTTTTTGTTACTCCTTCAGATTCAGTTGCTATAATTGCAGCTAACGCCCAAGAAACCATCCCTTATTTCAAGAGTGGTCCTAAGGTAGTAAAAGAGCCTTTCCTTTTTCGTATTACTTTCTGGGGTATGACCTAAAATGACTTGCATTTCTTTCAGGGTTTAGCTCGTTCAATGCCTACTAGTGGTGCTCTTGACCGTGTGGCTGAGAAGTTAAATCTTCCATTTTTCGAGGTCACACTCTCAATTTTGACAGATCAACATGGTATGTAAAAGTACCGAAGCAATAACATGATCATCTTTGTTCTTGTGTTCAGGTACCCACTGGTTGGAAATTTTTTGGCAACCTTATGGATGCTGGGAAATTGTCAGTCTGTGGAGAAGAGAGCTTCGGAACTGGTTCAGACCACATTCGCGAGAAAGATGGAATTTGGTAGTTCTTTATTCTATTATATATACTACACAGTTATCAGATACCACCATCAATTCGATTACTAATCTGATTAGTAAGTGGCATGGTGATGAACTGGCAGGGCGGTGTTGGCCTGGCTTTCAATTATTGCCTACAGAAACAAAGACAAGAAACCAGGGGAGAAGCTCACCTCAGTTGCTGATGTTGTCAAAGAGCACTGGGCTACATATGGCAGAAACTTCTTCTCTAGATACGATTATGAGGTAACCCAATGACTTCAACAATGGCTGTCAATATTACATTAGAAGCTAAATAATCTCTGCGCTTGACAAGCACAAGTTACTGTGGCTCAGGAGTGTGAATCTGAAGGCGCCAACAAAATGGTTGAATATCTAAGAGATCTCATCACCAAGAGCAAGCCGGGCGACCAATATGGTTAGCCTGTCTCCAAACTCCCTTCTTTCCACTTGGTACAGTCTCTGAAACCATGTTTGGACCGCCATTCAATTTGCTGCTGTGCCACAGGAAGCTACGTGCTGAAATTTGCAGACGACTTCTCGTACACCGACCCAGTTGACGGAAGCGTGGCATCGAAGCAAGGTGTTCGGTTTGTCTTCAGCGACGGATCACGCATCATCTTCCGTTTATCAGTAATGCAAACTCGTCAAACTCCTGAATTATATCCTTTTCGCTCACCCAAGACTGCCATCAGGTACATGTGTTAAATGAGCGTTCTGATGTGCGTATACAGGGAACTGGATCCGCAGGAGCGACCGTAAGAGTCTACATCGAGCAGTTCGAACCGGACGTCTCGAAACACGACGTGGATGCACAGACAGCGCTGAAGCCTCTAATAGGTTCGGTTTCTTCTTCATCACAGCAAGTCTACAACCTGTTTTTTTACTCGCTCCCCCAATCTGGTTTTGATGTTTTATTGCTGGTTGGTTTCCAGATCTGGCACTCTCCTTGTCGAAGTTGAAAGACTTCACCGGGAGAGAAAAGCCCACCGTCATCACATAAAAAGCGCAAGCAATCAAGCCCGCCAGGCCCAAGTCTCGAGCCATAAAAAAGGCTTTTTTTTTTGGCTGTACGGTATTATTAATTAATTAGTTAGGAAAAAGCGGGCTTTCCTTTCCTTCAATGTCAAGCAAAAAAGACAGACAACCTCCGATCTTGTACCTGGTAATGAGTGGCATAGAAAGGGCAGGACGGGGCAAGTGGGTAGGGTTTCCTTTCTCCCAATTGAAGAGATAAAGTGCTTCACAATATCACCACGACGCTTGATTGGGAATCAAATTGAGTTGAGAGTGGGGTGAGAAGGAAAGAAGAGATGGATAAAAGGTGGTGTAGTTTATGGTGAGTGACCGTGTCGCCACTCTGAATCGGCAATTGGGTGAGAATTATTAGGTAATAACATCTCCAAAATGCATCGAGAGGATGAGAAAAATGTTGTAAAGCAGCAATAATGTTCAGCCCTGAAACAGTACGCACACAGTGCGGTGATCTCAGCGTCGGGACCAAAATAGCAGCTGCAAAACAAGAAAGGAAGGCAGGAGACCCTACACTCTCATAGTGGCCGAATTCTTTGCAATAGCATCATACTAATCATGAGTAGTAGTATGAAAGATAACAACACTAAGCATGATGATATTTAGCAAACTGACCGAGGCGCGGTTGGGAGCAAAAGGGTCCAATGGGAGGAGGAAGGCCCGACCGAGTGTTGTGGGGGCTGAGTGCGTGATCAATTACGACAAAGCACAACTATCCATCCATCCATCCATCAACATAGTAATAATGGAACCACCAACCCACGAGCACACACACGATTCCTGTCCTTGGATCGTTTCTTCTTGTTGTTTTTGGTCCTTTTAGTCTTGTCTTGAATGCAAATGTCCTTGGATCGTTTCTTCTTGTTGTTTTTGGTCCTTTCAGTCTTGTCTTGAATGCAAACAAGAGGGCGTAGTGGCTGCTGCACATCAAGCATTTCAATTCAATATATGTCCTGATGGGCGAATCATTCACAAGTCAGACTCTCTGAATCTCACTCACTATCGGAAACTTTATAGGAAACCTTCCTTTTCCATTGATGCGATGGTGGCCCAAAGCTTTACTATAACGTATATTTACATGGACACAAAGCCTATGCCATTCCTCCAAATCTAGTTGGGACTGGGGTTATAATGGAACGGTAAATCTACGATCGAAGAAAGTAAAGAATACAGAAATTTAGGTGATTTGCTAATACGATAGGTGTGAGCTAATTCATGGGCCTTGCATACCATTTCACTATACTCGAGAAGATACAAATTAGAGAGATGAGAAAATATAGATAACATTTTCTCTTGATGGTTTAACCCTAATTCAATCCTGAAAGGAAAAGGTTACAAACCATGCCCCAAACATGACAACAAAAGTGCACAAAATCCGTATAACATCGGTCAGGGGCGTTGCTATCAAGATCCTGTGACTTTCCGTCGACGACAGATAATCAATGTTCAAGTCATGGCATAAGTACAAAGAAAATTGTATCGAGAAAAAAGCATGGGGCGCCCCTTGTGAGTAATCCGTAGTTTGTACAGACCAGATTCAATTTCATGGGGAAAGAAAATACTTAGAAAACTGGAGGTTTGGGAAATGGAGGACCCTCAGTTTGATCAAAGATCCAATACCAAGATCAACAAGGATTGCATCTGCTCCCCATTTTGCCATTGTGATAAAAGATCATCTCCCAGCTTTAGGGATGGCAATGGGGCAGGTTGGGGCGGGTTTTGTCAAACCCAAACCCAAACTCATGGGTTTATCCGCAAAAAAAAACTGGGGTAAAACCTGGGTTTGAAAAACTCAAACCCAACCCGCTGGGTATCCACGGGTTCATGGGTACCCGTGGGTTTTTGTTGTAAAAAATTTACAATAACAAGTTTCTTTCAAAATAAAAGTTTAACATCAATTTTCTCATACAAATTATTCATACAAAAAACACCAATCTAGAGCTTACAAGCAAACCGCAAATGATCAATACAAATTGTTCAAAATTAAAGATAAACATCTATAAACAATAAGATTAATTGAAAGCTTCTTCCTCGTCAACTAAGTTTCTTCACTCTCCACTTCATAATATCAACTTCATTCTAAACAATTAGAAAGAACAAATTATACATGTCTCCACAAACATAAAGAATATTAGTCGTTGAAGGAAGATATATTATTTAGAATATTAAATATACCGGGAAAGTAATTATATGTGTGTGAGCGGGTACTCATGGGGCGGGTTTACCTAAACTCAAACCCAACCCGACCCGGTGAATAGTGTAACGGGTTTAAACTCAAACCCGGCCCAAAACCCGTCAACACGGGTTTTACCCGCGTTAACCGGGTTGGATCGGATGGGTACCCGTGGGTTCGAGTTTTGATTCCACCAGACCCACCACCCCCAAATAATTGATGTGTAGAGACAACAGTGGGGGGAAAAGTAAGCAAGCTTTTTAGTGGATACTAAGAACAACCCTCTCTAGGTAGCCAGTTTTGTGGGTAAAAGAATGCATAGAAAGAGAGACAGAGAGATGATTGCCTCCTCCATTAGGGAAGGCAGGGGGTAACTGTGTTTGTCCTCATTGACGACTTACATCTTCTGTCTCATGTCTACTTGTATCATGTCTTACCCCTATCACCAACTAGTTATTATTGATCTTTCTGCTTCAAATGATCCATCTCATATACATTCCAACCATTCTGATTGGTGGGTCTACCAGTTTCAATGGATTTCTCCTTTTGTGTGTAAAACTGCTCACTATGCACTAAAATATCACACTAGCAACAGTCCCCATGATATAACGCAATAAGTAGTAAGCAAGATTCACATCACGACTATCAATAATCTATGATCTTCCAAAATAAAGAAATGGTCAAAAGAAGTAGGAAAATCAACCATAAAGTTACCCTCACAAAAAACACCTAGAATATGTACGTATATGAAACTAAAAGCGACATCGATAATGATCAGAAGGAGCATATTTGCAAGCAAACCTTTTTGAAACCCTATCTACCAAGCTACTAATACCTCTCTGGCACTGAATCTGGTGAGCAACAAAATCACAAGAACAACAAACGGATAGATACCAAAACAAAACAAAAACATGTATGCTATAGCTTCGTTAATGTTTCTGTTCATATCTGCATGACAGTGTGATGTCAACTCCGCCACCATGTTAGTTGCCTCTACTCATGGACCCTTCCCTTGTCCTTGATTTGTCTTCTTGTAACAAACCCAGCTTCCTATTTGGCAATGCCGTCTCTTCTACTAACTTTTGTTCTCTTTCCTAAGTCCGACTAGACTTCATCTTAATTATTGGTAGGAAAGAAATCCCATATCATGACCACTTCTCATAATCCATTGATCATTACAAACCTTGTTGATATGACTTGAATCGGATTATCAGCCGCTACGAATGGTAATCGGGGGTCTCGCTGTTATTTGGGTTCGGGCTGTGGGCCTGGTCTGTAACCGTTTCCTTTTCTAGATTGGATTAGGTTTAGACCCACATGGAGAAGTACTATAAATACTTCTCATACTCCTCTGTAATCTGTAATCTCCTCGATATAGTGAAACTGGCTCTCTCTCGCCTGTGGACTAGCTAACACACATCGTGTTAGTGAACCACGTAAATCGTGTGTCTGTGTTCTTTCGATTCTCGCTCTCGTATTCTTGCTTTGTCGATTCCGGCGATTTCCCGATCCGTAGCAGCGCGTTTATAACAAACCTAGAAGAATATAATCGAGATTTAACCAATACAATCTACAGTTATCATGTATGAGAGAATGATATTAAGGACTCATGATAATATACACAGAACAATAAGAAAAACCGCATACCAAAGCTGACCATTTGATAAGGCCCAAACTGCAGACCATATAGTAGTGAGTTGGTCTGGTTAATAGTCCTTATCTTTCTTGTTTTGGTATGCCGGTCTGGTCTGGTCAGATCTTGACCGTTTGAATGAAAGACAAATGGGAGACCAATCCAACGCAATATGTATGATATTTTTCATTAGAACATTGTTGTTTAACTTTGTGATCCTGACCTTATGCTAATATTATGTCATATTTTACGTCATATTTATGATTTCAGTTGCTAACGAGCTGCTAATTTTTAAACTGGGCCAAACTGTGCAGACGTAGTCTCGCTTGCATTGTATAACATATGGTGGGATTCTTGGTTTGCATTTCAATCTCTTGATATGACATATATATGGTCTGATTAAATCGAACAAAACCATTTCGCAACCCTAACTAATCTGCTTGTAAAACTCAGAGAATGCAGATAAATTTGGGAATGGAAAAGAGGAATTAGTAACTTGAAAGAAGGATCTTGTCAAGATTAGGGAAGAATTGAGAAGGGATTGGAAGAGAATAAAAGAGAGAGGAGAATTGGGCTTTCAACTGTTTTTTTTTTTTCTTAATTCACAACCAATGTCGAACAATCCTTAAATATTGTTTAACAAGAATAAAAAAATGATACTAACAATAAAAATAATACTGCCCCGGGTCAGGACCCTGTCGGCCCCAATCTGACAAGACTAAGACGGGTTTCTACCATTTCCCACAAGGAACTCCTCGAGGAAACACCTCAAAGTCGGTCTTAAGCTGGCCTAAAGCTTCATTTCTAGCTGTCAGCCACCGATCCACTACATCCATAACACTCATCCCACTCGTGTAACGGACCAACGATGACAGTGTCAGCCCATACAACGAACGCCTCAAATTGTGTCATTTAACTACCCGGTGATACGTCATATTATACCACGTTGGTCCATAAATAGTGCAAAGACATCCTGCTAAAATTTACTCAGGAACAACAACATCATGGTCACTTTCATTCGAGGAAACTTATGGTGGCGCACAATGCCTCGCGGGTCGGAGTAAAGAGGCCTTGACCCTCTGACACGTGTCAAAGCTTGCCACATACTCCTTCACCTCTCGCCCATCTGTGGCCAATAAAAGTGATGTCGTACGCGTTGCAACGCCCTCTCCTACCCAAATTGACCCCCGATTGGTGAATCATGAAACTCCTAAAGAACCATAATGACCAACAAAAAATTCTACAGGCAACACAATCCTACCTCTGAAGAGCATTATTAGATACTCATAATGACCATTACGAGTGCGAAAAGTCATCTTGTCGATGTCGTCCTCATACATCCTGATCTGATTATAACCGATGCGTATATCCAGATTAGTAAAGTACCTTGCCCTATGCAGCTCATTAGGGGTGGCCAATAGACGGGTTGGATGGAATTTGTTCTCAAATTGACCCACTCATTTACTCGCGGATTGATGTGATTGTGACCCGCTATCCACCCACATTTTTCTTCGGGTTGGGCCGAGTGGGAGGCGGATGGTTGCGGTTGGGTTGTGGATTAACCAGCAAAATCAGTTGGCTACATTTATTACAAGTTCCTCGAAAGTTATTAACACTGTAGAAATTTAGACACCTCCCACTTTGTCTCTAGTGGATCCGTGTAGTATTTCCATAAAATCATTCATTATTTCATCAATAAATTGTGTAAAGAAAGGTGACAATTTTTGCTACTTTGATATAATTAATAGTTTATAATTTGTATATCAATATCTAATGGATAGTACATAATATAGTAACGTATAGTAGTACAAAATATTTTTTATTCTCCATGTTTAGGTATATCATCAGTATGCGGTGTGGTTAGGAAATTTGATAACTATTCGACAATATAAACAAGAAACAACTTTTTTCATGTAGGAATAGATTGCGGGTCATTTGGGCGACCCGCATTCCATCCACCACCCACCCGCATAGGTGCAGATAGGAGATTTATCAATCCACAATCCACCCACATCAATCACCCACCATTGTGGTTCGGATTATTTGCGGGTGTACCGCGAATCAACCACTCGACATGCCCACCCCTAC